GCAAATTTAGTGAATAAAAATCTTCTAGAAAATAGACCAATGCCATCGTTACTAGATCGTCAAGATCTTTCGACGCTCGGCCATCTTTTCTAATACCATCTCTAATTCTACGCACCAAATGACTGGGTTTCCAAGTTTATCGCTTGAAGCATCTAATAATAATATATACGCGGCCTGATCTATGGGCAGACCTTCGCCGAGCTTTGTATGAAATTGAAGATATCAAAGGAACAAAAGATGCATCGGCACAAGTCGTGGGGTGTGACTGGCTGAAAGGGCATGCCACAAGTATTTAGCGATTAATGTCGTACATATGCAGAATAGTCGTTTGCAAACTATTGGTTATAAACTAAAGATAGACAAAAAATTCCTGAAAGATTTAACGCGCATGAATCGCATAGGGTAAAGTGCAAAAATCTCAAACATTAAGTAATTGAATTCAACATTGAAATTATTCCTTTAGCTGTCCAAAAGAGTTAGTGATAATTAAAATTAATAACTGTAGAAAGGAAATAAACCATATAAATTTATAATTATGATCGATAGTGATATAAATACTCCTTACCTCCCAAATTCGTTCACGGAGAGTGGAATTTTGCAGCGGATCACGTTACTTAATAGAATAGAACTTGTCACAGAGAGTCTATTTACAATGAAATTTATTCCTCTGATAATTTGTGAAGAAACTATCTGGACTGTGCTCGAAACAGGCTGGTAACAAATTTTAATCGTGAAAAACGATGCAGTTCTTGGCCTTGAAAGTTGTAATTAGTCCAACTAACATTATTGAACCATTTATTTTTGTTTGTTGATTAAATGACCAAAGATATATTAATTTAATTCGTGATTTGAGTTAAGCCTTTGCCAATTTCTTAAAGATCTTTAATATTCGGGCAAAAGCTGAAGTAACTTTAAAACTCGCTCAAATTTAAATTCATTATCATGAAAAAACCTATTTTTCACAGAAAACAAGGAAAATCCGCGTGAGCGAATCTGAATCGACCTTCATTAGTTATGCATAATATATGATAGCAAAAGAGCGTTATGAATAAATTCATTAGCCGGCCAAGATGATAAGAAAAGTTGCAAATATACAACCGTCGGGAAAAAACAATCGTACAGACGAAATTCGAATTCCAAATTGCCGTTCTGTTCACTTAGTTTGACTGCTAGTCTGTTTATTGCACTTCATCTAGCAATTGAGAAAAATAAAGTTTGCAAATACTTTCAGTTCAGTTATAATCTGTGCCTAACTAATTCGAAGAGAATTTTTCCTCTACCAAAGAGGATACAAAAATACAGCAATCAAATAAATAATTGGATTGATCAGTTGAGAGGACGGGTGATCGAACCTATGAAGGCAGCACTTGCTGGAGTTTTTGTGACGTGATCAGCATGGGCGAGAGTTTTAAATCAGACTTATCGAGGTAATACCTCAACTAGAGTACAATTCTTATCACAAGACTTATGATCGATACTCGTACTAAGAAAAGCAAGATGGCGCGCCCGGCAATGATAGCTCTCATGCGCCAGTCCAAATTCCGAGTCTGTAATTTAAGAAGTCATTTTTATTGCAAGTGATTTCAGCGCGAACCTGGATAAATATTCGGACATTACATCTTTAAAGTTTTATTCGAGTTTTTGTAAAAGGTTTTTAAAATTTTTTTAGTGAATAAAAAAATTTTCATTATGTTAAATAATAATAATTTTTAATTTATTTTATTATTTAGTTATTTTCATTCATATATTTTAAAAGTTGAATTTACATATATTTTCATAAAGTTGAAATAAATTTTTCGACGACACATAAATTAAAATCTTGCTTTAACATTAATCAAAGAATCTCAACGAACAACGAACATTATAGGTTTGATGAGTTGATAAATGATATAAAAACTGTTTTCATTGTTAGTTAATGTTTCCAAAATAGAGTATTTAATTCAAAGGACACATGTATGCCAGTATATACAGTCCTTATGAAACGCTCTGGGTTCAATTTTGTGTAAATGACAGTTTTTATAGAAAACAATATCAGTTTGAATCTATATTAAATCTATGTTGAAAAGCCCTCTGTTGCTTTTCGAAGGAAGTAATGGGCAGAAACATTTACAAAATAAGCACTTTGTATAAATGTTATGTGTTCAGTATATAAATACTGAACGCGTTTATTTTTACATTTAATGGGGTCATGGAGTGTAAAATCATCGGCACATAAACCTTCTCGTTACGTTTAAATTTTTATGGGGAGCGTCTAGGGTAAAATTTTGGATTTCGGCTTTTCCGGTTTTTAGTCTCATCTTAAAGCTGACATTCTGACCTATCCAACGGTACCAAAACCATCTCTGTACGTTGATTTATGCGTTCACAACAGATCATGAAAGGGAGGGGGCTGGGGTAGTTCTTTAACAAATAGAATGGGAGGAAATTCGCTGCGAGCACTTTAAATAGAGTGTCTGCTTGAAGTGCACCTTAGTTATCCGCCTGGCGTCGTATGAGGAGGTGTGCATGCAGTCGCTCCCACCATCCTTGACTGGAATCAAGCTCCAGTAACGTTTAGTTTTGTATCCTTGCTACATTGAGTGCCTATTCCGATGCGCGCGGGACTTTGACGGGCTCTACCGAAAAGTTAACTTATTGTAACTGCAAACCTATCTCCTCCTAGAGTTTTAAAGCTACAACAATGAGACATATACCATCCGATTAGAAAATGAAAGATCTACAAACGTCACTTTGTCGTTTTTCCAATTTCGTTATAGTTCGGATTTTATTTTGCAAAAAGTGGGGGAGGGCGGGGGTAAAATCTAAAAATTTCGAAAAATACCAGAAAAAATGCTCCCACACCCACAAAAATGATAAATCCAAAAAACCGCTAAGTGACGTTTGTAGATATGGTCTTTACGCATTGAATGATATGTGTCTCGATGTTGTAGCTTGAAAATCCTAGGAGGAGATAGAATTCTACAGTACCCTCTTTTTTGGCCGTTTTCTAAGAATATCACGTTTTCTTTCATTTTTTTCGAAAAATTCACACGAACAAAAATGTCTTAGAATTCTGTTTTACATATGTGTACCAAGTTTCAGAGTGGTACGTCTGTGAATAGCCGAGATAAATTTTACCCTAGACGCTCCCCTTAAGGCAATCAATAATTTTTAGTCGCGTATGACAATCAATAAATAACGATCATTTTAAGCGTCCTATCTCCTCACCTCACATAGCACCTCACCTCACATAGCACCTCATACTGTAGCAGCAGCATCATACCAGCACATCATACTGTAGCAGCATCATACCAGAACATCATACTGTAGCAGCAGCATCATACCAGCACATCATACTGTAGCAGCAGCATCATACCAGCTCATCATACTGTAGCAGCAGCATCATACCAGCACATCATACTGTAGAGCCAGCACAAGCGAGGCGTGCTATATGCTTCATTATGGAGTCCATCAGTCATCAATATTCAGAAGCTCTGTTTATTCTGACCGGTTAAACTTATAACGTGTTTTGTAATTCCTATGCCATGTATCGGTTACGGCAGGGAATTTATTAATGGGTTTGCTGATGAGAAGCAAAGCCCAAAGCTTATTGGTTTGTGGCCTGATTAGCATCGACTGCTTAGAGAGCTCTTTCGAATTAATCATTAAGCAGCGATTGCATCGGTATAAATGTTAATAATAACATCATTAATTGAAACGGTATCGACAGCAAGTACCTTTAAAAAAAACATTTGCAAAAAAAAGTTTAAAGAATTTAGAGTCAATTATTTTTGTGTATTCCTTTGGCGAGAGCATAAAAATTTACTGATAAATTCTTCTCACAGCAGTAATCGTATTTGCATGTTGGAATTAATTTATCCGTAAGAATATAATCAACGATTTAAATTTCACGATAAATTTGTGGAAATTTCTGTGTTGTAAAATGTCATAGAAAGTTTTAATTCCTAAAGTGAAAAATGAAATCACTTCAAAATTTTGAGATCTGGAGCAATATTGTCACGCGTCTACTTCTTAAAAAGGAGACGTTCTAGTGAGCGCAAAATGACTTGCACTGATGGTTGCCGCCACGTACGACAACTTTAAAATACATTCACTGAATGTACGCATGTGCTACATTCACTGAATGCACGCATGTGCTACATTCACTGAATGTACGCATGTGCTACATTCACTGAATGTATGCATGTGCTACATTCACTGAATGCACGCATGTGTTACATTCATTGAATGTACGCATTTGCTACATTCACTGAATGCACGCATGTGTTACATTCATTGAATATACGCATGTGTTACATTCACTGAATATACGCATGTGTTACATTCACTGAATGTACGCATGTGCTACATTCACTGAATGCACGCATGTGTTACATTCATTGAATATACGCATGTGTTGCATTCACTGAATGCACGCATGTGTTACATTCACTGAATGCACGCATGTGTTACATTCACTGAATGCACGCATGTGCTACATTCACTGAATGTACGCCCACAAAGCCCAAGAGGCTCGTGGGTTTAGGTCAACCGAGCACATGAGCGCGCAAATCCGATGCCTTGCGAGCGATGAACAACTAATTCCCTTGGAAAGATACTCAAGCTTCTATCGTTTGGCACGCGTTTATCGCATTGTCTTGAAATTCGTAAGAAACCTGAGAAACAAAAAATTGAACAAAAAAACCGCTACGGACGAAAGTACATCGAGCTTGGTACTTCCGGGTCACAATGCATTCGGGGAGGCCTGCCGTCGAATTGTCATCGCGGATCAGCGAAAACACTTTCCCGATTGTTATCATTATTTGCAATCGAACGCTAGAACTAAGAAAGATACTCCTGCATTAGTACTCCAGCTAAACTTGAATTTAGATTCTAGCGGGTTGTTAAGAGTGAACAGTAAATTCGAACGTTGGAGCAAACATTCCACGTACGGTCGGCCGATCTTGCTAGCCAAAAACAGCAAGCTCACGGAATTGATAGTGAACGACGTGCATACTAGAATGAATCATGCCGGCATCTATTCCACGCTGACGGAGCTACGAAGACAATATTTCATCCCTAGCGTGTTTTCCGTAGCCAAAAAGATACTACGAAAATGCGTCACGTGTCGTAGATCCAATGAGCGAAGCATAAAGCTTAATCAGTCTTCATACAGAGACTTTAGAGTCGATCCTCCGGCTGTGCCTTTCCGCCATTGCTTTATCGACCACATCGGTCCGTTCTATGTGCGCTCGGCAGGGACTAAAGTCAAAGTATGGATACTGTGCATAACGTGTCTCTGGAGCCGCGCCATCAATCTAAAATTATCGCTTGACCTATCCGTTAAAGAGTTCCTGAGGGCGTTCCAGAAGCACGTGTTTGAGTTTGGCCTGCCTCATCTAGTGCTATCAGATTCCGGGTCGCAGCTAATCGCAGGGTCTAAAATAATTTCGAAGGTCCTTCAGGACCCTGAAGTAGAAGCCTACTGCGAAGCCAGCGACATTAAAATTACATCTTTCCAACAGTATCCGAGAGGTTGCAGCGCTCTGGGCTCGCTGGTAGAGTCTTGCGTCAAGTTAATAAAACGTCTCCTATTCGGTTCCATCGGTAACAACGTGCTTGACTTGCCAGACTTCGATCTGGCTGTAGCACAAATTACATGTCTGGTCAATAAAAGGCCAGTAGCATTTAAAGAGACACTCAGAGACTCGAGCATTAGCTTGCCCAGTCCCATTACACCAGAAGCACTTCTGAGGGGATACGTGCTGCATTCTCCCTTAGTTTTACCGCACGTCAGCGAGGCCCCCGACGATCCAGAGTGGGTCCCGTCAATGGAGGCAGCCGACCTAGTGCGCGAGAACTTTGCCAAACTGAATGCCGTGAGACGAAAACTCGTTGATAAATATAACTCGCAATTTATCCCCAGCCTTATTACGCAAGCCACGTCAAAAAAGGACGGATTCCGCCCTGTGAAACACAAGGTCCTCGGAGTAAATGACTTGGTCCTGCTTAAAGAACCCAACCAAAAACGTTACAACTACGCGATGGGGCGAGTCACCGAAGTTACCCTCAATCATCTGGGCGAGGTCACGGAGGTTAGTGTACTCAAAGGTAACGGCGGCACCGTGCGCCGACACGTAACCTCTCTAATCCCGTTGCTTACCGCGTCGCCCACCACAGAGACTCGCTCCCCGGTGCCTCCAAACCAACCTATAGTGATGGAAACCGAGGCAAATAGACCGCGCCGGCTTGCAGCGCAGCGAGGCCGCGGAAAAATTAAGGATCTAATCGAACGAAATTTAATCTAACTATACTGTGTTATGAGTTGACTGAGGGAACTCCAGTCCCAGCCCTTTAGTTCGTAAGCCATGTTCATGTTGGCTGGGAAGGCAGCTGTACCTGAAGTCTCTAGTATGTAAGTTAATAGTATTAAGTAATGTTAACTGGGATTAGATAACACGGGTGAAGTGTTCATTTCTTCTTAGAGGTCGCTGCGGTTAACGGGTTAAAATACCTATCCCGGTATTTGCGTTGAGTAGAAATCTTGATCACTTCAATTTCCAATTTTATTGCTGGAAATTGAATCTCTTTGGCGGGAGTGTAGAAAACTGAAGGTATCTTCATACCTTCACTTAGTTTTGGTAGCTCGGCGATTTATAAAATTAATGCCTCGAACCATTTGACCGGACTTCCAATTTTATAATTCAGATTTAATGTCTTTATTAACTAAGCTTTAAATTTCTTCATAATTTCGAGCACACGTAGCAGTTTTGCAGCTAAGCCTTCCTTATTTCTATTACAACGACTCTAAAGACAAAACTTCTCTGCCCCTGTTCCGCGTCCTAGCAAGCAGTCCCACTCTAACGTCCATTCAGTCAGCACACAGGATTAAACATCTCTTCATCTTCAGCCTTCGTCGACGTCAAGATGTCGGATACGAACTTGTGTTTTAGTATTGTCTCTATGAAGCAGTAGAGACTTGTGGTGCGATCGGGGTTTGGCGGTGGCTACCTTTCGGGCGGTGATGAGGTCACGGCGGACCACACTGGTACTATCGCTAATGCGTCCGGGACTTGGGCCCTACCATGAGCGACTTCCCGTCAGCACGGCATGAAGAACTGTCGTCACGGCGCCCACGGACCAGCGGACCATCTGGCTACGCTACGTCACCGAACTCGCTGGTTCTGCATTCACGGAGGTGAGCTGCGAAAACTAACGCGTAGTGCTCGCTTAAAGCTCTTCAGGGTGCATTGTCCCTCCAATATGGAGGGTAGAACCTCCACTCGTGCCCATATTCATTAATTGTAAATTGGAAGTCCTGTGTCATATGTATTGCTAATGCTTTAATACTTTAGTAACCTTGGTCCATATCCGTCTCTCTTATCATGTGAGCTATATTTGCGAATAGTCAAGACTTACTGTTAGTCTATAATTTTCACGTTTCAAATTAATACGAATATATCCATTTCCCTTGCGCAGTGCATACACCTATATCTAGTTGAAAGCGGGCGAGTCGGCTGAAGCTCGGGAGGCGCGTCCGATGGTGGCCACTGCCATCCTCGGCTCTCGAAGCGTTGCTTTCTTCCGGCGGTCAATTAATAAATAATTATTTAGTTGACATTGCCTTATTTATCCCCCACTCGGCCGTGTTTTCAATACATGTGCTACATTCACTGAATGCACGCATGTGTTATCTCGTCTTTTCGATCGCGTGCGCTGAGAAGGTATCCCCTGAAATGCGCTGCAACGCAAAAATTAACCTTCACAAAATTAACTATCTTTTAGTTTCAGATAGATAATAAAGCCTTAAATAAAAATTAGGTATTACGCACTGAGAAGTTTTGCTTGAAAAATTATATTACCAGTTGAATGATTTATTTTCGTAGTGACTGACTTATTTGAATAAGATTTGTTAAAAACCGATAAGCTGACATGCATACTCTCAATGAAATTTGCGTACACGAAGCACAGCTATTACAAGATATTGACTTGTGATAGCTGACATATATCTATTACAAGTCAATATCTTGTCTAAGATATCTTGATCTAATGATCAAGATATCTTGATCATTAGATCAAGATATTGAGATAAAATTCATCATGAACACTATGGTCAACATAAAACGCTTTTAGTATTCTAGGACATGATTAAGTATGATGATCACAGGTCACAATGATCATGAATGAAGCAAGGGTGATCCGACCAGATCAGCATGTGTGATCAGAGAGCAAATGGACAGCTCTCACTGATGACGCAAAAATGCCTGCAATCCTGTTCCATTTTTGTCGGGCAGTGCCGCCTAATGCACGCTGTAATCCAACAAGCCAGAAGGATCGCACGAATTGCACAAAAATGTAGCAAATCTCCGTAGGGAAAACACAGGAGATAAGCTAGCGTTCACGCCAGGCCGTACCGGAACGTGCCATGGTTTAGTGTAGAAAAACACATCCGTCACTCAAGTAAATTCTACACAAGCGATGAATTCGACAAGCTGTTATCTTTCAGTCGATGAATTCGACAAGCTGTTATCTTTCAGTCGATGAATTCGACAAGCTGTTATCTTTCAGTCGATGAATTGACACAAGCTGTTATCTTTCAGTCGATGAATTCGACAAGCACTTACCTTTCAGTCGATGAATTCGGCACAAGCTGTTATCTTTCAGTCGATGAATTCGGCACAAGCTGTCATCTTTCAGTCGATGAATTCGACAGAAGCTGTTATCTTTCAGTCGATGAATTCGACAGAAGCTGTCATCTTTCAGTCAATGAATTCGGCACACGCTGTCATCTTTCAGTCGATGAATTCGACAGGAGCTGATATCTTTCAGTCGATGAATTAGACAGAAGCTGTTATCTTTCAGTCGATGAATTCGACAGAAGCTGATATCTTTCAGTCGATGAATTAGACAGAAGCTGTTATCTTTCAGTCGATGAATTCAGCACAAGCTGTTATCTTTCAGTCGATGAATTCAGCACAAACAGTTATCTTTTATTCTATGAATTCTACACAAGCTGTTATCTTTCAGTCGATGAATTTGGCACAAGCTGTTATCTCTCACTCAAGTAAATTAGACAAGTTCGCATGTTGTATCTATAAACTGCTAGAGCAATTTTCCATTTATACTCTAAATATTTAACTAAACGTTATCATGTCAATTCACTCTCACAATTAACTTATTTCAACTCACTCTTATGCTCCCTTCATTTGTTCTATGTCTTCGCACGTGGAGGTTGCAAGGCTAATTCTTGAATAAAAGCAACATACTGAACAAGTAATCCATTAATTTCAGAGTTAATAACCATCAGATAAAATTTCCCCCAGAGCGGGAAATGGGATTTAGTATAAAAAATAATGAGTGTACGATCTTACGCAGGTTTTTGGGCATTTAAGTGCATACATGTCATGCAAAGCATACGCAATTTTTTCGTGCACTTCAGCACGTCGATCACTAACAATATAATTGGCAATGCACCACAGATATAAAATAAAGAAAGTTGATAACTAATTTTGTGCGCGGTTATTTATTGCATTTTTGCAGTTATTTATTGCAGAATTCATACGCAAAACTCACTGAAAGTATTTGTCTCAAGTCACGTTTGCTATTTTGAAAGAAACAATCACTTCACTCGGATGCAGCTACAAGAGAGGAAGCATTATACACAGCAAACATGAATGCATTTACCCGGTAGCTTGTTTACCGTTGAGCCTACATGATGCTTCTCTCTCTCTCTCTCTCTCGATTGGTCTTGTTGAGAGAGTTCATCGTGAGCCAGCTCTGGCATAATGGCGTAAACATTACTAATCTGCTCGTTGAATAACCGATTAAGGATCTAAACAGAACTAAAGTGCATGCCCTCTAGCGGAACACGGATGAAAGATCGAGCCAACCGAGTGGCCTACCGAAAGCAGTCTAAAAAGCCTATCTACTTAACGATATTAAAGGCATGGGCACTATATTCGCTTCATAGAAGAGTTTTTGCCAGTTTTTTAACGTTGAAGTTTCATTAAAATGAGTAAGTCTCATACCGCCTCATCTAGGACACCAGTTTAGAGCGGTAACTAGGTAATTTATTAATCATTTCTGATAACATAAATTTCAACAAAAGATATAAATATTTTATCAGGACACTTAATTAATGCTGTAAGTGTTTACTCGTTCAATCATAAATCGTTATATTGCCACTATCTGCAGTGAGATTTTAGGCTCTGGCTAGATTAATATCGTCTGCGAACAACTACCGCGAAAAGACAACAGAAACTACTTTGTAAAAAAATTCAAGTCGATTTTTTTGCAACATCTGTTCATGCGCTCGTAAACAATGGATTGATGGAAAGAATTTAGTTTACACTCTCCGTGCACTATTCACAGACGCGAAAAAAAACATTATTTCCCGATGAACAGAGAAACATATATAATTCCTCGTGAATTACCTAACGCAAAAAATCGGAGAAAAATATTAGGAAAAATCTTATAGTAAGGATTATGCAGAAAATAAAAATAGTGTACGTCGAATTATGACAAGACTTTTCATGCAGAATCCGGTAGCAAATAGGCAGGTATTTTTAGAAACACACGTACCAGAGGGAAAAATATCCTTTATTTACTACAATAAGCATAAAATGAAGGACGAAAACTTCAGTATAATAAAAAAGAAACTAATAAGTGGTCAATCTTTCATACAAAGATAGAACGTGAGCGAATATGAATTAATTGATTAAAAATTTAATAACATACACAAAAAATACCATGTGGAAAAATAATATAAACGAGGAGACACGTGCAACTACAATAATAAATTCGAATTAGACTCAAGTATTTTACGATTATTGAATATTATTAAATTTAAAAAAATCAGAATGCTGGACGCAAGCAGAGAGGAAGGCACGGCGTCAGAGACGGCGATCCATCGTAGCCTGGAACTGCTACGTCCGAAACAAATACTAAGGATACTAAGGATACTAAGGATACTAAGGATACTAAGGATACTAAGGATACTAAGGATACTAAGGATACTAAGGATACTAAGGATACTAAGAATACTAAGGATACTAAGGATACTAAGGATACAAAGGATACTAAGGGTACTAAGGATACTAAGGATACTAAGGATACTAAGGATACTAAGGATACTAAGGATACTAAGGATACTAAGGATACTAAGGATACTAAGGATACTAAGGGTACTAAGGATACTAAGGATACTGAGGTTACTAAGGATACTAAGGATACTGAGGCGGTTGTGACAGCGTTTTGAAAGCTGTCCAATAAAGGCAGCGGTCAGCGAGATCTGGAGTCGCAAGACGGA